TGACAAAGGAACAAACGAAAGGCGTATGAACTGAGCAATCAGTCACCGGCTCCCAATGGGCGCGATTCCCTGAATGCGCTCCGCTGCCTTGCGGGCACGGCATTCAGCCAAAGGCTTGGGATGGTGTCCCCTAACTCAATACCCTACTTCAACTAGGGCTACCGGGTAGTATCTTGCCCTCTGATGAAACCATGGACTTTGATGTGTTGTGTTTTCCTTTACTATTTCTGAACCTTCTTTTGAGTCCCATGGTTTCTGATGGCTCTATGTCTATCCGTAGACTGTTGCAATATATATATATATATATATATATATATATATATATATATATATATATATATATATATATATATATATATATATATACTACATTCCATCGCAACGAGACTGGACCTTAACGCGATACGATGGCTTGCGTACGCATACGAACCACTGTGCTATACTGGGTGGCACTTTCCAAATGCTTTCAGAGCCACTCATATCAGACAAGTCAATCTTTAGGGGTCAGGCAAACGCCGACTCACAATCTAATCCTCTTCGGAGGTTGGGAAGTGGTCGATGGCCCTCTTCCCGTAAAACCTAGCCAAGGGAGACAACAGGTTTAGGGGTTATAAGCTCACAGCTCGTAGAGCACGAAAGCCACACATTGTCTCTGACGGTGGGGGGAGGGGGCACCATCCGGTTCTCAATGGTTTGCTACCGTCCGCTTTCAGCCAGGCAAGCCCTGATCAAATTAGTGCAAACCCGTGCGTAACACAGTACGGTCGCAAAACATGTGAATTGTTCTAAATCTTCAAAGGCTGTGTGTGACAGGTCTCAGATAGATCTCAGTGGGTCTCTGCAATCACACCCCCGAGCTGGACTTGCTCCCCACTAACTTATAGGTCAGGCTATTGAGCCAAAAGCTCCGGGTGGAGTCCCCCAAGCGAACCCCCATCGCCTTGTGGGTTAGACTGTTGACTCAAAGCCTAGGGGCAGGGTACCTCGAACAAAAGCCCTCTCTCGGAATGGGCAGCCAGAAAGTATCATCTGCCCTCTCGACCACGTCGACAATACTCCATCTCTTTTTCCATCTTGTTTCTCTCCCCCCTCGCCCATCTCCTCTTCTCCGTCTATTGAGAACGAGACTACCACTACTCTCGCAGCTGCTGACACTGATACATGCAGCTTTTCCATCAAACCTAGAGCTTCATTGCACATTGATTCCTTTAAGGTCCACACTCTAGGTCAGATCGGCCAGCAGGAAGCACTGACTCTCACTCTTCACTCTCTTGGTATTGATGTGTGCTGTGTCTCCGAAACATGCATACAAGATAACAGTGTTGTGACGAATCTTCTACTTGCTGGTTCTGAATCTGACGGCGATGGCTACATTCCTCGCATCTCTGGTGATACTGAGTCAATGACTCAAAGTGTTTATGATGTCGGTATTGCGCTCAACAAACATGCTGAAGGCAATCTGCTCGACGGGATACCAGTGAACAGCCACATGTATGCGGTTCGACTTTGAACCTCTATTGTAGTTACTAAGCACCGCATGAAGACAAGGTGATTTTTCATCGCCTAGTTTATGTCCCTACAGAATGCAGTTCAGAGGGTATCAAAGACGATTTCCATCAACTATTCTCATCTCTTCTTCGCATGGCGAAGAACACTGACATCGTGATTGTTACTGGTGACATGAATGCCCAATTGGGTCTTCTTTTAGACTCTGAACAAAGCCTGGGAGGCCGTTTTTAGCTTGATACACGCCGAATAAACAATGGTAATCGATTGTGCTTTCCAGCACAAAGGTGCAAATCACATCATCTGGCGTACACCTAATTCCCTCACGACCTGAACTCAAATTGACCATATTGCCAGCACCTGGAGATGGTGCACATCAGTCCAAGACTGTCGGTCAATCTGCGCGTACGCTTGGCGCTCATACTTCCCGCTTCAAAGAAGCCCTTATCTTCTAACCTCAATAGTTACCTGAACTCGTATTCTGCAGTTCAACAATATCATAATGAACTGGTCCACCAATTGTCAGTGATGAATGAGGTTGGTGAGTCGGACGCTGACTGGGATCATCTCAAGTGTGCCATGAAGGATGTCTTTAAGGTCCGTTTCTCACGCATCTTAAGACGTCGAAACTGCGAATGGATGTCTGAGGTACCGATCAGCTTGATCGAAGCGCGTAAATACAATGGATACGGAGTTTCGGCGCGTCCGTAACTCCATGAAACGACGCATGGCAATGAGTCTTTGAATGGACCGGGAACGTTGGTGCGTGGAAAGGGCTCGTGAGATGGCGAAAGCCAGTGCTATCAGAGCTCATCCGGAACACGGGTCCGATAAAGCCATCAGTTAGCGAGACTAGCTGAGAGAGATGGACAGTTGATCCACTCTCAGCGTCGTCGACTAGCATGCTGCGCGGAACATTTTGAAGAGCAGTTCAACAGGCCTGCTGCGACACTGCTGCTTGTCGAATCAGCTGAGCGGAAGTGAGTAGATGCCATACCTCAACATGAGTTTTCTGTGTTGAAACGAAACAAGACTCCTGGACCCGATGACCTTCCTCCTTTGCTGAAATATGGTGATGATTGTTGACCAGACACTCTTCTATTTAACACAATTTGGAACACTGAAGAGGTGCCTTCAGACTGGCGACGGTCAACTGTCGTGCTCATCTTCAAGAAGGGTCAGCGCACTTGGTGCTAAAATCATGAAGGCATTAGTCTTATTTCCATTGCCACCAAACTTCTCATGGGCATCATTCTTCGAAGACTTACTGGACCGCTTGAGAACTGAATCACTGAAAGGCAGGCTGTCTTCCGCCCTGGTCGTGGTTGCATCGATCACATATTTACTCTTCGCCAAGTGTTGGAGAAGAGACACATACAGACGACCGACTATGGTGGGTTTTCTCTGATTTGAAAGCCGACTCTATGTTGACTGCGCCAGCTTGTGGCACAGCCTATCCATGAAGGTGTGTGCAAAGTAAACCCCAACTCCAATTTTAAACTCCATTTCATTTTGTAGCTTCTCTACCGTGATTCCCGAAGCCGTATAAGGGTCTACGATAAACTGTCTCCCGAGTTCCCCACAACAAGTGGAGTTCGCCAGAATTGTCCTATATCTTCTATCCTCTTAAAACTTTGGACTCGAAGTGATCTTGAATGACTCCGTTCTTTACGATTCCACCGGAGTGGGAGCTCTTCTGGGTGACCAACTGAAAAACATGAAGTAAGCGGATGACACAGCCCTCCTTGGGTCTGACGTAATGACTATTCAAACACTACTGGATGGAGTGGTGCGTAGTGATGTACACTTTGGTATAAGCCTTGCACCTTCAAAGTGTAAAGTTCTGTCGCAAGACTGGACTTGCACAATTTCGGTCCTAGCTATCACCCATCAGGCGCTGGAAGTCGTGGATCGGTTCACTTACCTTGGCAGCTGTGCCAGATCTGGTGTTCGCTAGTTCGCGTATCAGAAAGGCTCATGTGTCTTCCCAGATACTCAACTATCTATGCAGATGGCGGGATATCAGAGTGTCAGTAAAAGGTAGGGCGTATAACGCTGCCATAAGGCCGATCTTATTGTGTTAAACAGAAACCTAGTCAGTTCGAGGAGAAGACATTAATCGCCTGGCCGTGTATGATGACCGGTGTTTGAGGAGTATTAATCACGTCCGATGGGGACACCGGGTGGGCAATGCAGAGGTTCGCCAGTAGGTTTTCGACAAGAAACCTGGCGATACACTCGAGCGTTTGTTGGATCTTAATCGCTTGCGTTGGCCAGGTCATGTCCTCCGTATGCCCGTTGAATGGCCTCTTAGATGTGTACTATATACCGTCGTTGCACCTAGCTGAGCGAAACTGCAAGGTGGACAATCCATGACGGGATATGGAGGCGTGAAGAAATTGACTGAGAAATAAAGAAAAAAGGTAAAAGAAAAGAAGGGCAGCGGCAGTACGCCAGTACATAGTACGGACGCTTCGCTGCCGCCCAACCACCACTGGTCGCACGTAGGCTAAGGATACTGTGAGGGTCGCCCTGTCCCTAAGTAGGCTCAAACGCGCGCCCTCACACTATAAGGCAGGCTCGTGATCCTTAAGGCTACGGGCCAGTGTATGCGGTCTTCCTGTAGGAAGGCATCAGAATGGTCCACACCAATGGTTGGAGCTCGTATCAGAGGTGGTGCAAGCAAGCAGTTAGTGCCGTACCCATAGTTGGTTTCTTGCATCTGGTCGTTATTTCTTGTTCTTCCTACTTTCAATTTCTTTACATTCCATTTGCATTCAACCCCACTATCTTGCCGTGGTTATTTAATGCTATTCTTGCGATGTGAGTAGTGGCGATTGGATCTACCGCACTTCTGTGGCCGGATCATAGTTGTGCAAGTGAACTGAACTGAACAACTCCTGTAGTTCCCTTTTCTACCTGACCACTTGCTCCAGTATCAGGTGATTGCCACAACCACATTCGTGCATCCTAAATAGTCTTGAGCGAAGCAACCGTCATGTGTTGTAAAAAATTATACATAAATGTCGTAACTAATATTTAGGTTAAAACCATTTCCTTATTGTTCAAAAACATGTTTAGGAGTTTCATATTAATATACTCAAAGGGCCTGCCAATCCCAATAACGACATCATTCGCAGCATCAGATAACACACATGCGACAATCAGCAATCAACAATTCTGCCCTGTCGAAATTGAGAACCAATTAGCAACAGTGTCGTACATTTTGCGATTATTCGTGGTCGTTGCGTTAGAAAATGTTCTTAATTATCTGAACATAATATATACAGTTTAGTTATTTATTTATAGCCTTTCCACTACAAAACGCAAATGGGATTAACTAGAAAATGGAATGAGCGCACACGTTAATGCAGATAAAGAGGATATAATAGGGGCCACATATACGGAAGCAGTCATTCGTAAATGGTACACGATGGGGAGGTACATCACCGCCCAAACAATGACTGGGATAAATGGTGTCAAAAAGTACGTACCTTATCAGGTGGTTGGTCTCTGTTGGCTCACAGAGTTGCGTACCATCCCTGGTCGCGGATTGCGGGACTAAAACAAATGGAAACATACGTGCAATCGATCGTTTACACTGGGAAGCAAACGTATGCAGCGATGAATTATATGCTGTCTGGTACATAATCGATGCTCGACCAGAAGAACTTAACAAATCTCGAATGCAAAATGGCAGGGTGGAGTATAGCAAAGATGATCGGGTAGCGAGCAATGGTCTGCAATCCAGGTATACTGTGCTGGAACATTCTAAGACATGACACGAATCCGCCAAATGCATTGTTGATGTTGAATTACCTGGAAGAAAAAGTTGATTCTGACGCGATGCAATGGAATTCCCAAGTAAGTTGTCTGGTTATTACATTCTGCTCGGGGCAGTAAAGTTCCACCTGAAATCTTCATACTTTCTTCTTTAACCTTTAGCTCGTAGGGCGTCTAAGGTTGTACATCGGCGAAATATCAGCACATACTGTTAATGTAATACGGTGGTACCTGTTATGGCTGTTGTGCCAGTAAGTGAAGGAGACTGTCACTGAGCTAAAAGGATTATTGACGCTATGGTGTTCAGTGTGGTTGCGGCACAAAAATCAAATTTGGTGGGTCAAGTTGCGCTATGAACCACATCATCGGGAATACGGATGGTGTAAACGGAGGAGAAAAAGCAAACGACAGGTCTGCAAATGGTGACAAAAACGGTTACAATCGGCAGATGTGGACCCGAAAGACGGAATGGAATATTCCCCTACCTCAAAACCGAACCAGCCAAAAGGGGGGCACTAGGCATTGATGTGGTACCCAAGGCAGTTAATTGGTGATGGAATACAGGGAACAAAAGAACAGGCATGTGTACCTTGGAAGTCGAATTGATTGTAAGGACAACCTGGATGGTGAGGAGAGAGCGACTGTGGAGGTGGGGAGATCGCCGTGGTGCCCAAAGGTGAAGCAACAGGTGAAGAAAGACGACCGGTGTTCATGCTTGAGGTGCAATGACCGACAGTTGCATACGAGCCTGAAACGGGGGGAATGGAGGCGCCGGAAGAATCTGGGCCATTTTGGGAGATCGAATGGCTAGTGAGCATGGATGGATAGATACCAAAAGGGGAACCGGGAGCTGAACTGGTACAGGAGGATGTGCTATTGGATTCGCAACCCTGAAATGCGAAAAAAGGGAAAGTGGCGACATTAACATTAGAAACGATTAGTTAGGTGGGAAAATATGAGAGAAGTTGGGCGATAAAAAACGGGCAGTGTTAGGCTGCAATTGAACAGTGATGAGCCGTCAAAGATAGTGTGGCGAGGTAGAGGTAGCCAGCTCAAGAGAATTCACAGTAAAAATCCAACAGCAAACATCGACTATGCGAGCACGCTGCACTACATAGGTAGGAACGGTAATTTGGACAGAGCCGTTATCATAAGATAGCGAGGCTAGAATCAGGAGGTAAAGTTTGGGGGAAGATTGGTATCGTGGCAAGATTGCATAAGTGTTGGATTAGTGTATATTCGTCGGTTAAGATTTATTGTGGCTTCACTTATGTTTCCAGAACGAAACTACATATAACCGGTGGAACGAGCAGCAAATTAGGCAACTGGATAATCAGGCGATTTAATAACCCTAGAAGTACTTGTGTCTGAGAGAATCAAGAAAACGGTGTATATGGATGCTGAGTAATAAAGCTCTTCCACTTGGAAGGAGTTAAATGACATGCAAGGTACTCTAGTGCGAAAGCGTGGGGTTCACTAACAAAGAAACGTAATCCACACAATAAGGGGATAAATGGAAGAGTGTCGCCAATCTGACTATCTTTAAGGTGAAACAGTGACGTTACTTCACAGATACCGCAATCAAAGAGACATCTCCAAAGAGTAGAACAGTTGACCAAACATGACATCTATCTGATATCTAAATCATCACGCTATAACAAATCATTATATATATATATATATATATATATATATATATATATAGAGAGAGAGAGAGAGAGAGAGAGAGAGAGAGAGAGAGAGAGGAAGAGAGAGTGAAACACGTTGAACGTACTGCAAGAAACAAAGATTTACCTGAAAGGCGGGAGTGGAATGAGCCGGTCTTAGACCAGGTTGATTTGCTGCAAGAGGGCTGGTGCTCAACATTTTGCGGTTTACACCGGGAGAAGCTGCAACACAAGGAACAAATGAGACCCCGTGAATCCGCTTACAAGCAGATGGATGGCACAGGGCGTGTATGTTTGACAGATTTGGTTAGTGGGTTGGGTTCAGCGCAGAAGGAACATCCAATACAGTAAACAGCCACTGCTGTAAATTCAGTAAAGCAAGAAGACAACGGCCTAACGAGTAAGCTACTGCAGCAAGCAGGTTGTGTCATCAGCACGCACCCAGGACGTTGTGCTACGGCACATTCGAATTATTTCTTAGTTGATAATACCACTCAGAAGAAAAAAAGTTGTCAAATAGACAGCCTCCTGATATGGCTAGATGCCAAATAGATCGAGTGCATCGCGCGTGTCCAGCATCCAAATACAGCATAAAGATCGTAAATAACAAAATACCCTAGACCAGTACGTGTGCGTCTAATGCCGAGTGGAAGTACAACAGTCTGCCAGGTAGTGGCGTGACATTTATGCTCTCACCTGAAAGACACGCATCCAGGCACGACCCAGTCGACCCTGGATCAAGTGATTACAAAACACACAGATGGCGCTATGATGCGTGCGATGTGAACATGAGGTGGCGTCAGAACACTTCCACCACCTCCAGCACACATAACGCAAGTTGTTAAGAACATTCCGCCGCTGCTAGATAGATTAGTAATGTGTCAGCGACGTGCATCATCTTTCAAGTGATATTCACGTACATACAAAGAGGGAGTTCAGTTCGGATTAGTTGAACAACTATGATCCAGGCACCGAAGTGAAGCGGATCCGGTTGCCACGATTGTCGCCATGGTAACAATAAAATAACAACGACAATAAAATGAGGTTGGATGCAAAAAGAAGGTAAAGAAAATGGAAGGGGGAAGGACTAAAATAATTAGGATGAAACGAAAATTAATAGCCAAATGTAAGGACTCGAATGCAGGAACCCTACTGGCTACGCGACTACGCCATGTCTGAAAGAGTCTCCAACCAGTGGCGTGGACCACTCCGAGACCTCCATCTACGAACGTGGTACGCACCAGTCTGACCAAACTGTCGATCAATTTCTTCATGCCATTATGCCAGTCATCGACTGGCCATCTCGCGGTTTCGATCAATTTGGTGCAGCGACGGTATAAACTGAACGTACAGGAAGCCGGTCAACGGACATACGGAGAGCATGGCATAGTCAACGCAAGCAGTTAAGATCCAACAAACACTCGAGTGAGGCAGCAGAAAAGCTTCTTACCAAAACCCAAGTAGTGAACCTCAGTGTTGCTCAGCCGGTGTTTGCACCGGTTGTTAAACACGGCCAAGCGTCACAAGGAGAGAAAGAGAGTGATACGATTGCAGTGATGAGTGCGCTATCGTTTTGTCGCATTAGCCTTCATGGTAATTGAGATAGTTGCCGAAGGACAAAAGGTCACTAGGCGAGGGTGTGAAAACGCGGTTGTCAACGGGAGTTAAAGACAGCTATACTCAAGTATACAGTCGCATCCGTTATATCCTTTCGGGATTCGTCAGCGGTGTGCGATCCCGTTGTTCGATGAGTAGTTACAACACAACTTCGAGGAAGTGATTAGTAAGTATAGAGAGCAGTGACAGCCATCATGATCAAGCAACTAGCTATGGTGCATGGTCATTCAGATGCCACTGTAGAGTCTCGAAGTCTTTCTGAGTCGTCAGCCGCTGAATGCTAATGAGTACTGTGACGGAAATTTATCTGAAGTGAATCAAACCCTTACAGTGCTAGTCCAGAGTTTGTTAACGGTTGTGGAAGAATGCTAGACGGTCTCACTTTGAGCTAAGCTAGGTGACAGATAGCGACTGGATGGTGAAGAAGACGAGGAAGGGTGAAATAATAATGATGAACCATGTAAAGAAATGTCAATTGCAAATAGCTCTCAATACGGCACTCCAAGAGCGATATTGTCCTCATCTGCGCTCCACAGGCAGTTAGATGAGGATGCGACCCGAATTCGGGACACAAGATTACCAGAAGATGAATACGAAAGACAGTCACCCAGTTTCGTGGGTAACGACAACTACAACGATAAGGAACTAATTGTCTGGAATTTGGAACATTTGCTGTCAGAATTGTGACATGCAACCCCAAATTGAAACGTGATGTTTGTTGGACTAAACTTCGGTCATTTCAATTATTTGGTATTGCGCGATCGAAAAACTGTACTCCAGAACGGAATTCGCCCGCGGTTTGACAGTTCAAGCATCGTTTCAGCGGTCGAAATGATATCAGGGTTCAAACAGAGAGTAAGTATCGCAATCCAAACGCGCATAGTAGACACTGTAAAAACACAGCAATGTGAAAGTTTGTGGCGTGTCGTTAGCCCAACAATCCGCGACTACCGAGGTACTATCGCAGTTCGTTATCAAGGAATATACCCAGATCATACTTTCAAGAGAACTTGGGCAGATCAGTGATGGAGGGCGTAGGGAGACTGGATCCGTAGTGTATTTAGGTACAGTTGACGAAAAGCATTAGCAGCGTGCCGGCACACCGTACCGAGGCTTTGCTGCAGTGAGACCACCGCCGGCCGCGCATGTGCTGGGGATATACCTCGGGGTTGCCCGTATCTATACGCATTCTAACCGGTGATCTCCGGATGACGGAGCAAGCGCGCAATCTACTCAGCCACCGGATGACACTTGACGAAACGATATCAAGGAACAGGTAGCAAACTTAATGGCATAACGATTTTGAGGGAGGTGGGCAAGAAATAACCGGTTCACGTGTCTGACGACAAGGGCTAAAAGTGGTGTGAATTGGCCGGCTGTATTAACTGCCAAAAAATTCCATTTCGAAAAGTAAATCAAGTACCGGAGAACGCACAACGGACGGTATGGTTAATCAAGAGGTGCGGTGAAAAAGCGAAACTTTAAAGTCATTTAAGCAAAACAAAAAGTACAACTTCGTGAAGAGAAGGTCGCAAATGGCATGTCATTGACAAAACAAGAGCCGGGGATGTTTTAACACCACACATCCCTAACAACGCAGAGACTCAAGATACCGAGAAGCGTGTATAGAGATTGCTACACCCGATACGAAGACATTGGCGTGAAATAGATAAAACGGAAACGAACCTTTAGATTCGAACGTTTCGCTCAGTGGAATAGGGGGCACGCAACGAAGTTGGCAAGCCTGGGATACGCAGCTCTTGTGCACTTTGACTCTGTTGTGCAGAAAAGAAGGGAAAATAGGAAAGTTCACAGACACATCGGGTAACCATTCTGAGAGTACTGCGCAGTAACGGCAGAACGGTGAACCACAGGCTACGCTTCTCCTAGTTTTACGTAAGCCGACTCAGGACACATAGGATATAAATTGACGCCATAAGAGTCACCGGTGTTGAATACTGAGCATGTCACAAATTGAATTGAGTCACGCCCCTGATTTGTGGCAGAATGAGTTCTCGTTACTACCACCAAGTCTCCCAGTCAATCTCCACGTCGTAAGCCACGTCATCAAATGGTCACATAGCGTTTTCGCCCAAATTGGTGCAGCGACGGCGTATAATACATGTCGAAGAAACTGGTCAACCGACATACAGAGGACATGACCTAGTCAACGTAGACAAATCAGCTTCAGTAAAAGTTCAACCTAGACACCAGTGAGCCTTTTGTCAAAGACCAACTGGGAGACCTCAGCAGTGCTCACCCTGGCCGATGAAGTCGCGATAAGGAAAGAGCGCAACATCCAGAGACGATCAGTCGGCAAACTGGGAAGCAGAACAAACGCAAGGTAAAAAGTTAACCGAGACCATCTATTCGGGTCTTTGCAGACTGGTCTCATAGTCGAGATTAGTCCAGATCCGAAGTTGTCTGAAGCGTAGTACTTAGCAGATACGGAACTACTAATACGCACAACAACTGTCTCCTTGATTTACGACGGAACGTCCGTAACCGAAGTACCGAGCTCGATAAACAACTCGAGATCTCAACAACCAACTCAAACTACCAATGTTTTGACTAATTGCAAATACGAAGTATGATGTTTATATGCGAAATCATTGCGGATCAGACGTCAAGATGGATTCGTGGTGGTCGAATAAGGAGAATCACGTCAAGCAACCGCTTAGCACCGCAAACTGATCACCACGACTGGCTATTCAAGCTTACCGGAACGGCCTATCTATACTACACCACCATCATCAATGCACATAAGATGGGGGTCGGAAAGAATACTACTATTGTGCTGCAATACAAAAAAGATAAGATATGAAACATTACAGACTACAGGTTATATTATGCTGAATAGCACATTGTGCATTGGGAGAGATCGTTGTTGAATGGGAAGCTAAAGGGGAGGGTCAAAGAAACTCACAGCACAAACGCCACTGAGATCGGCTCGTAGCCATATCAACAAATGTATCCGACTCCACGTATTCATCGTCTCTAGGACCCCAGCCTGGCAGCCACTAACCGACGCCAAGTTCGAAGTGAGGGACATCATTGCTCCTGACTAAAACAACACTTGGCATCCCCTCTTTTTTCCTTCCATAACACGGTCGCGTAAACAAAGCACGTCGCGGGAGTCGGGGTGCTGACATGCGCAGCAGGTGATATAGTCATCGGAGCCTGGTGCGCGATATAATGGTGCTGAGCAGTTCACTCGCTCTTCCTGCACCAAAAACGAGACGTCTATGTACATTGCTCCGGCGGAGTTCCCACCAGACATGCGCTAAGCTGCAAAGGCATCGATTATCGAGAGTAACTGGCCTCTATATGACTGTCGACCTGATATGGTTGTTGCAGGGAATATGACTGCGCAAAAAGGTCGCCTGAGCTCTTCAAAAGCCCAGCTAAATGTCAAGTATAGATGTAGATCCGACAGGACGAACAACAGCGAGCGTCTGTTGCAACTATTCTCGGAGCACTGACTGTTTCTTAGTAGCACCGTTTTTAAACACAGTGGGCACCGAAGTGCTACTTGACGTCCCCCTAAAGCTCGCTAACGATGGACAAAAGTAGATCAATTTGCCATAAGTTACATGTGGCGTGGTTCCATCACGCATTGTCGCTCGTTCTGGCATATGTGTATCGACTTTGATCATGCCTTGGTGCGCTGTCATTTTTTTATGAATTTTATCGAGAGGCGTATCAAGCGCTTCCCTCGATTGGCGACCGAGAGGTTATCTCAGTCATCAGTCAGTCAAGCCTACCAGGATGCTCTACGTACCGAACTTTCGTCCTCTCGTCACTGAGCTTCAGTGGAATAGGATCTCGGCCGCCATGCACGACGCAGGAGCCTCTACTTGCGGCACTATAAATCGTCACAGCAGCAGTCACTGGACATCCGAGAGGTCGGTGAACCCCTTGGGATTCAGAAGATGACGTTCGGCTGGCTCTGAGCACATTGTAAACAGACGGACTATTAGGCGCGAACTAAAGCGGAGCCTGTGTGCTGATAGGTAATCCTGATGGACCAGTATGGTTCAAGAAATGGAAGCACGAACAGTAGGCACTTATCGCAAGCTCATCTAAACGATCCGCACCACTGGTCCCAGGAAACTAGGGGTTAGTGAGACAATCAGAAACAGCGCGGGTGCCTTGATTCACAATAAGGAGCGCCACACGGCTCGTTGGGCGGAGCGCTTTCGTGATCAGTTCAGTTGGCCCCGTGCTTCTGGACCTATTCCTACTCAGGTGTTGCAGGTCGAACCATCGACGGTTAGTTTAGTCTCCATCGGAGGCGGACGTCCGAAACGCGATCACAGCCTTTAATCGTTTTCAAGCTGTTTGCCCGGATTCGCTTGAATCCGCACTAGTTAAAGATGGTGATGAGGTCCACTGCAAAGCACTGACCTCCATGCTCGAACAAGTCTGGAAGGAAGAGAACATCCAGGCTAATTGGGGTGAATCGATTTTAGTGGTAATGCACAAGAATAGCAGGAAGCGGTCGTGCATCATTCGTGTCACCTAAGGCAGATTATTTGTCGGCAGTCCAACGCCATTCAATCGTGGTTGCTTACCTACAAAAATGACCGACAGACTGGTGATGGTTGATTTTCTCAGAGACCATCTACAGGTTGTATCTTTAAACGCGTCCAGCCACAACCGCAGTGGACGCGCTGTGGTAAACGAGTTACCTCATCTCCTTCAAGTGCCGTGGGGAGAGCGAAGCATAACAGCTCCCCAATATGGTAATCTTGTCAACGAGAAGGGGACCGCAGGGATGGGCGAACAATCAAAATAACTCACTTGCAGTTCACACAATGTTGTAGACGGAAGCTCATCCGACTAGAACACACGGCACACTGAGTTCCGCGAACGAAATTCCCAAGTTTGGATTCGGTTTCAAACCTGTGTGTAAGTGGAGAAAAGATAAAGGATGATGAGAACACGACTATGGCCTCCGGCAAAATTGGCACAGAATGGTAAATGGAAACTTACCATACATGATGATAGAAAACAATGCGTTTGCCACGTAGATTTGCACAATGAAGTACGTTAAAACTAGCCAAAAAATGCATAATTCATGAAGCGAATACCGATTTCTGGTGACGTTCATTAGAAATAGTAGTCCGATGGGTGAAAATCGTGCATGCGACTTCAGCCATTTATGTCACCCCTACGAGAAGAAGATATGGTAAAAAGAAAGTTATGTCCCCTATGCGATATTTGTCACCATTGGCAACTCCCTACTCTGGCCTCGGCAATCTGGCATTATCGCACTCTCTGATGGAACCATAGAGTTCATAAATACTACTACGTTGCTCTCTGGCTTCCGAGTTTGCACTGCCCACGCACTTCCATCACATGCCAAATCAATTTTCGTTAAAAATTCCACTACCTTTAAATTTATTCTCGATGACAGCCTCGCGGATGCCCAAGGAGTTCAATCAATGGCATCCCTTTGACCCGATCCTCATTCTGGCTAGCAGCCCTCAAAGTTCGAATCCTCATTCAGATCAGGCAGCAGGTATACCTAGCGAACACTCTACAGTCCCCCGCTATCAATGTTAGTTGCTTTTCGAGACTCGGTTACAAAATTCCAGCAAGACGTTTAAGTTGACATCCTCTGCAACAAATAAATATTTTATTATAGACAAATCGGGGCACGCTTATGGGCATGATCAGATACCAAATATACCACTTTCACCCAAAATTAAACGTTATGCAAACCACTTTGGACGATTTGCAAACCACTTTGGACGTTACGAAAAACACCGGACATTTCGTAAAACTCCTTGGACATTTAGCAGAGCAAATGGGACGTTTTGCAAAACAAAATGGACTTTTCGCAAATCGCTTAGGACACATTGGATTTTAAGCAGAAAATCAGAAATTCCCTGGCAAGAAATGAGGAGTAAGGCGACCTGACGATGTTCACACTACATTGCAGTCATGTTAATGCAACCGAATTGTGTAACCAGCAGGTGTCACTGCAAAATTCTCTTGATCGTGAACCTCAATCGTATCGATCAAAGACGGAGACTAAGTATCCTCCTATCTCCCCATCTGTCTTCTCGTAGTTTATGTGCTGACTTTACACATGAACCTGTGCAGCTATGTGACCAGTAGAAAGTCAGATTCCCTGATCACGTAGTCTATCATGACTTAAACAAATGCTACCTAGCATTGGAGGGTCACTGTTAAGCACTCGTTTTGAGAATGGATTACGATGTGCCATCTTAATGTGGACCGCGAGTCCCACTGAATTAAACCTTGGCCAAATCGATCCCTTGAACCGTAACTGATGAAGTAGATAGGCGGTGATCCGGTTGTCCTCTGTCACTCTATGGGTCTTTGCGTAGCTTGTGTGGGCCAACCTATTCAGCTGGTTGATTATTAGATTAGTGTAGGCTATCATGACTTTACCAAACACAGCATAGCTTTATCGGCTTTATGGTTTTCAAAGAAAGAGGACGATGTTCAGACCACAATGTGCTCGCGCGAATGCAAGCTAACTGCATAAGCAGTGTGATTGTGCAATCCCTCCTTTTGATCATGAGCGTCAGTTGCCTCGATTGGACCCCGTGACCCAGCTGTCTGCTGTCGCTATATGGGCCTTCGCGTATCTTATGTGGGAGAATCTATTCAGATGCTCGGTTATTGGATCAGTGCAGACTATCATGATTCCAGCAAACACAGCATAGCTTTAGTATGCTTTGGAAGCACAAAACGACAAAAATAAGCAAAGAATGACTAGAGGCCGCAGCTTGGAGTCCGAGGCGGTACAATCGATAGTCTGTCATAGAAAGAGACGCTCACCAAGCTTGTGTTCGTCGACGGCTAAACCACACACGAAGCTGCTGAAGTCACGAATTGCAACGCGCGCACGGCAAGGAACATCATCATCGCTAACAGGAAAGAACGCACGAATACTCGGCGAGACAACCGGGAGAAGCTGAACCCCATTATCCTACAGCGGGTGGATGAGGTAACTGAACAGCATTCCGAGGGCATTTTGGTGTAGATGCAGCGACGGCTGAGGGAGATCGGGATCCACCTACCTTATCTACTGATTTCAACGCTAACAGGAGGCTAGGAATAACGCTGAAGAAGTTCACTACGAGCAAAAAACCGCGTAAACAGTGGCCCGACCATCGCAACCTGACAGACCTGCGCCATGGACATCTCAACACATACCTTATTCTTTCATGCTAGCTCCAGAAGTTCGGTTTGAAAAACGCCTACTTTAAAAGGAAAATGGTGCATTCACAAGCAAGATAGAATTAAAGTTAAACACGTTCATTTAATGAAGGGCTGTCCAGCTGCTGCGTCTGTCATGCTCAGTATCATATTAAGGACGCAGTTCATGCAGTCCTGTTGGGTTACCGTTTCAACACGCACTTGAATGACCGCACTTAGCACCTGGTTAGGCGTCAGATTAGCCAGCAGGCGTCTTGTCGACGCTTTCACCCTCGTAAACAAATGTTCTACTGGGTTTAGCATGAATGAGCAAGGCGAGAGAAACCACTTGATAGGATGAGTCCAAGATCCTCCGTAGATCATCCGGCATGTGGATGCTGCCGCTGTCCATGATCATCCATGCACCGTGCATCTACACTCTGCAGCGTATACGCCCCATGAGTTCATCAAAGAACATCAAGAACTGCACCATTGCAAGTACCATCGCTGATGATTTTTGACTAGACGATACTTTGGCTATTCATTGCCAAAAACAGCGTTACCATGCGGCCTCTGACTGTAGGCAAGACGACCTTCGCGCGCGTCCCTCGACCTGAGCGAGCCTGAGTCCGTCGCATATGGAGATTGAACCCGCTCTCATCTATGAAGATGCATTTCTGTTTGTCATTCGGTGCATGTACCGAGAAGTCAAGAGCGTAAGCTTGTCGGCTTGCGATGGTCGTGGCACTGTTGACGCGGTCTAACTCGTGGTGACACTTCTTGAGCGTTATCCTTAACCTCCTGAGAGCGTTGAAAACAGTAGATAAGGATAGGTGGATCCCGATCTCGCTCAGCCGCTGCTGTAGCTGCACCAGAGTGTCTTCGGAATGCCGTTCAGCGGTTTCTTCAATGCGCTGCATAACATTGGGAGACAGCTTTTCCCTGTTGTCTCCTCCACATCTGCGCTGAGTGTTCATGCCTCCTCTCCTGTGCTCGCGTTCATATCGAGGACTTCGGCAGTCCCGTGGGTGGTTTTGCAGTCGACGAACACAAACTTATTGAGGATCTCTTTCTGTGCCATTGAGGTTCGTTTGTATTGCCTCGGACTCGAAGATGCGTCCCCTAGCTGCTCGTCGCTCAATATGGTCGTTTCGTGCAGCACAAGGCTAATAAAGCTATGCTGTGTTTGGTGGAATCATGATAGCCCGAGCTGATCCAACAGTCGAGCAGTAGAGTAGGTTGGCACACACACCCACAGGAAATACGCGGATGCCCCTAGGGTAACAGGGCAAAATGTCACCCGCTTCGATGGAGGTGAACGACGCCAATGAACAAGAGGAAGACTTGCACCACTGCCCACTGCTTGCACAGTCCCGTTGTATTCGCATGACCAACATTGTTCGGTCGACTTACTTCCATGCCTTGATAAGAAACTGCAACTTTAGGCCAGCAAAATTAGACAGGTTTTGGTGGATTTATCATAGCCTACACGGTTCCAATACTCGAGCAGATGAATAGGTTAACCCACACACCCACATAACATACGCGAAGACCCATATAACAACAGAGGACAACTGGGCCACTGGGCCCGATCGAGGCAACTGACGCCCATGATCACATGCATCATCGCACACAGCTTATGCAGTTACCTTGCATTCGCGTATGCGAACTGTAGCCGGAATATCGTACAGTCTCCTTACTCACCTGACTTTGATAACAAGTTACAGCTGTAAACCAATGAAGGTAGACTGGTTTAGTTGGATTCATAATAGCCAAGAGTGTTCCAGTGAATGACCTGCATTGGTTCGCCCACATAAGCACAGGAAAAACGCAAAAGTTCATAGAGAGACACGGTACAACTGGGTCGCCGGCTTTGCTCGAGATGGACAACGCCCGTGAACAAGAGGAGGGATTGCACAATCGTCCCGTTGCATTCGTATGAGCACAATGGGGTCTGAACAACGTCCAGTCGTTACAATCCCCTTTCTTATGGTAACGACTTACAGCAGTAGGCCGATAAAGCTATGCTGTGTTTGGTAAATTCATGATAGCCTACACTAATCTAATAATCAACCAGCTGAATAGGTTGGCCCACACAAACTACGCAAAGGCCCATAGAGTGACAGAGGACAACCGGATCACCGCCTATCTACTTCATCAGTTACGGTTCAAGGGATCGATTTGGCCAAGGTTTAATTCAGTGGGACTCGCGGTCCACATTAAGATGGCACATCGTAATCCATTCTCAAAACGAGTGCTTAACAGTGACCCTCCAATGCTAGGTAGCATTTGTTTAAGTCATGATAGACTACGTGATCAGGGAATCTGACTTTCTACTGGTCACATAGCTGCACAGGTTCATGTGTAAAGTCAGCACATAAACTACGAGAAGACAGATGGGGAGATAGGAGGATACTTAGTCACCGTCTTTGATCGATACGATTGAGGTTCACGATCAAGAGAATTTTGCAGTGACACCCGCTGGTTACACAATTCGGTTGCATTAACATGACTGCAATGTAGTGTGAACATCGTCAGGTCGCCTTACTCCTCATTTCTTGCCAGGGAATTTCTGATTTTCTGCTTAAAATCCAATGTGTCCTAAGCGATTTGCGAAAAGTCCATTTTGTTTTGCAAAACGTCCCATTTGCTCTGCTAAACGTCCAAAGCGTTTTGTAAAATGTCTAAAGTTGTTTGCAAAAAGTCCAATTTAAAGTGAAAGTGGTATATTTCCCGTACCACACTGGTGAAACAGAAACAGCTGTGTTGGATGGTGTTGGCGTCGTACAAGGTGATAAAGCTGAGAGCCCGCTGCTCTGTTGATTCCTGATCGGCAGCCAAATGTGTGTGGTTTGGTTTCAAGTCTTATGTAGTATCAACAGTAATTGTGGAGACGCATTTTGTTTGTGGTCTCCGTCTAGACCCAAACCGACTGCAGTTGTGCGTCGGTTAAGGGCGACTGCATCGTGAACGTCACCAGCATTTGAGTAAAGCCGAGAAATCAGATATCGTTGTCCTTGCAGGGGACTTTGGTCGGCTGCTGACATGCGAAGGTTGGTGGTCGTCACGTCCTTGATGAGAGTCGTACTGGCAACGAAGATAAACTTTTTATGTTATGTTGGGATAATCGCCGCTCCCCCTCGAGCACGAACATCAGGCATTCTAAAAGATGCGCCGCAACCTAACATACCACTTCGTAAAGGCGAGCGCGGTCACAAATTGATCATATTGCAAAAAGCTTCAGATGGTGGGACAGTGACAGAAATGAAAATCGATTCGGATCACGTCCTGGTCCATGCGGATATTTGCATGCGCTTCGGGGGGTTATCGAAACCAATTCACAGTACGCTGAATACTAACAGGCTAGCTAACCCCGCCATTCAGTTGTGTTATCAATCTTCCTCACCTTACACGTTCGCTTATGCTCCACCTCAAGGAGTGGAAGATCATTGGAGTTCCTTGCAGAAGGCGAAGTTCTTTTCCGGCCAATTATTCTGTAAGGACACCGAGTAACCTCTGAGGTGCTGGATCTATGCACGCTTTCTGGGATTAGTTGACCGTCGCCTAGCTATCCAAGATGATCCATACAGCGGTGAAGTTTGTCGCAACCTCAGCCAGTAGCACAAGCAATGGCAGTGTAACGATCGCAAAAGTTGGTGGTCTCAGCGCGTCTTGGAGAAGGAGACAGCAACTATCTTCGAGAACTTCCGAAGGCTCTTCTAGATCACTCGGACCACTGGCCACAAAAGACCTGGAGCAAGTAAAGCTATTTACCTGGTTGATGGATCACCAATTAACGTAGCCGCACGGACTGCTGGGATGAGAGCTTCCACTCTCAGTTTAGTTGGCCTCATCCTTCCGGCTGTCCAATAAGTATGCCTAGTCGCGTGCGGTTGAACGTTTCACTGGAAACACCCACGGAAGCGTAGGTCTGTCTTGACCTTCGGCACTTGAAGCGATTCAAGGCTGCTGGCACAGACAAACTTCTTCCGGAACTGTTCAAGTACTGTGACGAATCGGTTGCCAACCAGTTAACAGTTCTATTCCCCACGATTTGGTGTCAAGCAAAGGTTCCAGCCTATTGAGGCCCGTCGATTATGGCCGCGATCTTCAAGAAAGGTGCTTGTACTTCGTGCGTCGACCACAGGGGATTCAGTTTAATATCCACCACCTCAAAATGTTAACATTCATTTTAGTCCATTGATTACCCCCGATTCGAAGAACAAGCTGGTTTCCGATCGAGGGTATGTACAAAATAGGTTTACGCCCCGCCAACTCGAGGAGCATCACCCTTACAATCCGCCTACCACTGCTGCATATTTGGAGATTCGAGCTGCGTTTGACTCCGACAATCGTCTGCTTTCTGGCGATGTCTGCAAAAGAATGGGATACCCGAAAAGTATACCGCCATCCTTCGAGTATCATACTGCAAGGTCTCGGGCAGAGTGAATACTTACAGCAAGCTCCCTTTTCCTTCCTCTGTCACTAGAGGTGTACGACAGGGATCCTTATTCCCTTGTTTCTCTACAATTTTGCGATTGTGAATGTCCTACTGCGTAGAGCTTCTTCCAGCTAACCGCACGACTGACTAGGAGTATGCTGGTGATATTACCTTGCACGGTGACAACCCCTGAGAACCCAGTTACCTCAAGATTGTTAGGGATTGCAGATACCAACAAAATGCAGTCCTATTAGATAACCGGCTACCACTTGCTCCAGTGTTGACTCTTGAACGCACGTGGCTTGAACAAATGGATAGATTCGTCTACCTAGGGAATCCGCGTTTATGCTGATGGCCCCATTGAAAGGATATTTCTCATTGCCAAGGCCGGACAAGCACCCGCTAGTCTGAGGCACCAGTTGCAGCATCGTGACGTTACGTTCTTGGTAAAGAGAACGGTCGACAATATGTGTTTGCTCGATACTGTTGTAGTGAGTCCTTGCCGATTCGTGTAAATAATCTGCGTCAGATTTCGGCTTTTGAGAATGATAGCTCATGTGTGGTGGGAACACCGCGTTTACAATGACAATGTTAGATAATACGGGCCTCTATCTCTCTCGATAGGATAGTACCGCTGAACCAAGTGAAATGGCTGGGTCACGTCCTACGCATGCCGTTCGAGAGACTACCACAGCGAGCTTTATCAACTCGCGCATGGCCGCAATGGGAGAAATGGCGCGGAGGTCAGCCTACCGCATGGTGACAAACTGTGAGAGCGCTGACATCCGGTCTAGTTATTGTCTGTTCCGTACATTTTAGAGCCAAGTATGAAGAACATTGTCGGCTGGGAACACTTGAGGACACGGCGCAGAGTCGGGCATATAGGAAAGTTTGCTTGAATTGAAGGACTGGTTGGAAGTATCAACACCGCAATCCTTAAACTGACAGAAAAGACAAAACGGTGTATAAAAAGCGACAACTTTTCACTTTTCCACTCTGGGATTTTAGTACGAGGGTCATTCAATAAATAAGGTGAATTTTTCGGTATAAGGACGTCTAATAAAGATAGAGGCTTACTTTTTATTGTTTCACTTCTTTTTCACATGGATGTAATTTCTTTCGCAGATTGAAAAAAACTTTGAGAGTTGTAGCGATTAACAAAGATGGCCGACCAAGAAGCATGCCCCAGGATTGAACAGCGGTCAGTTATCAAGTTTTTGGTTGCTTAAGAGTGCAAACCAGTTGAAATTCATAGGAGAATGTCAACTGTGTATGGTGCCACATGTCGCAGCCGAAAAAATGTCTACAAGTGGGCAAAATTGTTTAAAGAAGGACGGAGCAGTGTTGAGGATGAAGACAGGCCTGGGAGGCCTACAGAAGTGAGGTCTCCTGAGGTGGTCGAATCAGTCAATGACCTCATTCAGTCGGACAGAAGGGTGACAGTGGATGACATTGCAAGGACTTTGAGCTTATCTGTTGGGGCGGCACACAAAATTGTCCATGTCATCCACTGTCACCCTTCTGTCCGACTGAATGAGGTCATTGACTGATTCGACCACCTCAGGAGACCTCACTTCTGTAGGCCTCCCAGGCCTGCGGCACCGCTGGTTCGAGCATCGACAAAATCCATGTGATGCTCTAAGGCTGTAGTCTCATCAACACAGACGACGGGATACTGTTTATCCGGTCAATAGGAAAATGCTCAACGCTGCTACGTGGCCGGTGCGGCTAAAAGCACTAGAGCCTTAGCCACTACAAGTTGGTTGCTACAAGATAGTGGTCATTTTGATCAAAAGTGTCCACGAAGCATTTTCAAATGTATCGGGAGTATCAAATGAGTAGCAGTAAAGTTCCGCGAAAGAACCCTGGGAACGCACTAGATGCCATGTCGAATCCGAGACGCCTGTGTTAGATGGGTTATGCCCTTTGCTTGAGTGGCGAGCCGCTTGTCTATGAGCGCGTTGCTTGCCATTACTGTGTTTACTTAAGAGAATTGCAAGCTGGTCGTCGGATGGTGTGGCGGAAAGGTATAAAGCGAACAGTGGAAGGTAATGGTCGGACTGGTACATACCATCTTTATAATCAAGCACCTTGGGACTAGCCATCGCAGTGACTACCGACTTTATCCAACATCTGACAGTTACGAGATCTGTGGTGCTCTTACACCATAGCACTGAACATCCTATCCGACAATCATTCCTTGCCTTTCCTTTGCCCAAATTTGTAGTAATTTCTTGATTTTCGGGTTTTGTAGTACTTTCGTCCATTCGGCTATCCACTAATATCATCTAGTATTACAACGACGATGTGAGTAGAATCAGCTAGAGTCATAGTTGCGGTGCCCGGACCAGGATTTATTAATTTAATTAATATGAAAAACATTTTCTCAAAGAAGTTTTCGGAAAAACCTTAACATCAAAGCACCGCGTGATCGACATTTGGAAAATTATATCGGCATATTATCAATTGCGTACTGCAGAGTGTGTAAATACATAGCACCATGCAAATGAGGCAGCAAATTTATCAACAAGCATACACATACACACACACACACACCTGTCAAGCTACCATTTGTATGCCGGTTTACCGCAAGAGCAGAACCAATCAGACAAATGCATTTGAGGGCTAATAGGTGCAGGTCTATCGCACTATGCGTCAAATCCAGCAAAGTTTGTGTAGATAAGATGGTCCAAAAGATTGTCGTCATTTTGGACTCAGCCTGGTGAATTCGCTCGGATGACAAGTATAAACCAGTTCCTTTCATTTTTGCACGGAAACGTACGGACCTGTACCCGATCTTCGGCAGTAACTTGGTTTGAATTGACAAAGAGCCTGCAGGTGTGTAAACCCTTGGGCCGTGTTAATCAAACCAGCTAGCAGCAGCCGAAGCAGGACGAAACGCGAATCTCTCAACCTGGAGAATAAACAATGAATGAATCCAAAGACCCATGTGACAAAACAAAAATCTTCAATTAAATAGTGGCTCACCTGTGCACAAGACCATTACTGCTGGGCACAAGAGTAGCTCCACTTGTGGATCGCGGTGCGAGTATGCCTGAGGGAAACGGAATGTATACAAAGTGTGGAGATGCTCAGACGGTGAAGATGAAACACAAGGAAATAAGCAAGGGGAGGAGAAGTAAACCGACATTCAAGTGAGGAGCGAAAAATAGCACTAGATGATGATGGAAGGCGTGAGGAGGACCCGTTAACTTGAACACATGACTCAAGTGGCGTTCGTCATCAACAGTGACGGCGGAGTCTAAATACGTTGTATCGATGTGTTACTGACATAGACTCTTAACTTACGATAGCTGACCCTACTAATGAGAACAAAAAGCGGGAAGGGGTCCTAATACGACGTCTTAATGCTAGTGACCGTTCAAGAAAAGGTACCAATAAAGCATGAGCATAAAGTGGCTGTCATGTGAAGATAAACAGACATCGGTGAAGCAGTCCTCATGCGGCTTTCCCTGAGAAGCGCATTAATCAACTTCACCTATTAGATGACACAGGATCAGGCAAATTTTAGGCTGCCACTTCTGTCAGCTGGTCCCAACAAACACACCACAAGTATTAGTCGTGAACTATGTCCTACAAAGTGCAGAGCCAAATGCAAAGTGGATCACGTGGATTTTAGCAAGCATAGCGAGACGGCACTAATAATGCCCAGTTCGCTGGCCAGAAGCTTTACTTCCTGTCGCCAGATTGACGATTACTCATTCAAGCCCTAGGCTACCAAGCATTTGGAAGGCAAGACAAGGTCCTTCCAGGTAAGCAACAGCCAGATAAATATAGCGCGTACATGAACAAATGTAGCTTATTCGGTCCAATTAGTTGATCCAACAAATAAGGCCCGATCACTGCTGTCTGGTACTCACCTACGCAGTTCACCGTCGCGGATTCACCACCGTCACCCAACACCAGTAATGTTCCGTAGTTAGTGATGCGCGAAGAATTGAAGGTGAAGGATTTTAATACTGAGGAGGCTAATATCAACCGTCGTGCAGAACGGTCCCCACCGTGTTCAAGACAAAAGGAAGCACTCTGGCAACATGTGTCACACGCTAATGACAGACAGTCAAAATGCCCGCAACCTGAGACAAGTTCAGTATTCCCGCACGCTAATCACTGTTATTGCAGTTGCCAAGATAAGTGAACTGATCGAGTGCCTACAATCCATCGTCACCTGGGCTTGAAGGATCACCGAGCGATTGGTGGTGGGAGTCAGCAAAAATCGTTATCATTCACTTAACAGAAATCGATTTCAGAAGTGAAGGGGTCCACCACATGGACTCTTGTTAGGGACATACATGCAAGCACTACGGATAATATGATGGTTTAGGGATACAGTACCTATTCAAATTAGATTCGTTACAACTACGTTCAGACGTTCGGCGGTGAATTGGCGCTTCGTTCAAGTGAGATCTATCAACGGCGCACCATATGTCTATTGTCATGCTACATAATGACAAAAAGTAGTTACAAGTGAAAAAACGAAAGTGGAGACGAGATGCATGGTACAAAGATAAGGCGAAAATAGAATAGACTATGCTCTTCTAGTGAAAAGAACGATGGCTAGCAGTAAATCGGGGTAATATTCTCTATTTGTTCTGTCTACAAGCTAAAAGTGAATAGCACTGGCAACACCACAGCGACGGAGATTAGTTAGACACAAAATGGGTCCGGGAGTTTTAAAGCACTGGGATTCGCAATGGTGCATAATTGCGATAAACTTTCAAGTCAGGGAGAAGGCAGTCTCCCAGAAAACTATCTGAGCCACAAAAATAGTTGTACCAATTAGTTTCGACCGAAAGTCGATGAATGCCAAGTGACTTCCGGGGCAAATTCCAGATCCGCTGAATCCATTTTTGATTGATATTTTTGGCCGGTAATCTGACTACTTCAGAAAAGGAAGGTTATAAAAGAGAACAGAAAATAAAACTGGAGTTCTGCTGTAGCCGTTGAGCGTTTGCAGGGATTCAACGTGATGAAAAATGCTTGGAATCGATCGAGAGCTAATGGTTTCAGAAGGGCTTGAAAACAACCGGTTGGTATGGTTTGTGGATACATGAGTATCTGTCAATAAATCCTAGTGAGTAACTGCAAGCGCAAGATCCGGCTCCGTCGTGCCATCGGAATTGATAGATATCACTCGAAGGTCAACTTCCTTCTCATTGTCCAGGTTTAAGCTCCTGGAGGCCATTAGCAATTCATTTAATGATTAGCCCTGGTCGGCCGGTGACCGAAAGGATTACGTGCTTGCTTTGTAATCTGGAAGTAACCAGTAGGAAGTCCCGTATGTGCTGATGATGTCACCGCATACCCAGTTCACGCGCGACCAGTGATGTCTGCATGGAAGCCAAGCGTGTGCACGGTATGCCGGTGTACTTTCGATGCCTCTGTTTCTCTTCTCTCATTCGTTTGTCCAAAAATACGTATACACTGCTTTTGTGATTGTAACGACCAAACAGGTAAATGATTGCAGTCAGAACATCGCTAGAAGTCTTTTTACATCAGCCCTGGTGATTACGTCCTACAGCTGTGTGTGGATCACAGTCCCTATATCAACAGCACAGCTTGATGGCTCAGGTGTCCGGATAGAGCTATATGGCGTTTATAAAATGTCAGGTTGCGGCGAAGTTGAGTTGATCACTTGGCCATAAAATATGGATGGCGCACATCGATCTCGTATTTATTCCGAATAGGTTGAAAGCTTTAGGATAAGAGTTCATGTTCAACAGGAAGAACACAGGACATGGGAGATCTAACAGACAATGAAAACGGAAAGTAAAAGTGCAATGAATTTTTATGCATAATAATTCCAGAGACGATAGATTAAAACTACCACTGCAATAACAAACCAGAACGGGGTACTAATGAGGCAAACAGAAAAGTTGACGCAGCACCTTAAGTGAAGACGTAGCGCGCCAATCAAAAGAGATAAGGAAGAGGTCGAAAATTCTATATTTGCGTCCATAATCACCTCAGATGAATTGAATTCAGAGCAAGGAAACACCCAGGTAAACAACTCCGCTGGTGATAGAAACGAACTGGTACACTGAAGAGAGTGAGCGGTTACTGCGATCTAGTACCGTTGCTCTTGCGCCTGAAGGTTATGGGTGGTATCAGAGCAAATTACACGCGGAAATCTAGTTGTCAAAAGGTAGTTATAAAGTAGACTGTGTTTTAAGGAGGTCGGTGACAGCCACACTGACTGGCTTTGAAGAACCTTCTCAGGAACGTAAAAAATTTCCTTACCGCTAACTGATAAGCAGGATTCGTCTTAGCAGCTTACATACCACCTCGATTGATAGCGTCTTGGTAAGGAAATCATAGCTCTAGTGAGGAGCGATGTGTCATCGCGGAACTGTTGCTCAAACCCCAGGCAACTGCTCAAAACCCACGACGACAGATGAGAACGCGAAGACGAGCTGAGACAGAACAGAATTGTATGCATAGGGAATACTGAGGTACAAATAGGGGTGAAGCAAAGCTACTAAACACACTGAAGCCAATTGACAATATGGGAGAAGAGAATGGATACAAACCAAGTAAACCCAAACTGGGTTCACGCCTTGACTTGAAGTTAACTTGTGACCCTACGTAGGGCTGCATTGAATCTCTGATGCAGTTCTATTTCCAAAAGGCGACGATCGATCACAGGCTCGTTTGCTTCGTTTTCCTAACAACCAGCTTTCTTCTTTGTACGTTTATAATATGTATGACAGCGGAGGATGGGCAACGGCATATCGCAGCCAATAATCAGTCATTGCGGCCCGCTACCGTCACTCATTGATTCGTGGCTTAAGTCGTTGGCTCGCAAGAGTAAGCTCATGGGCTCAGATCCAGCAGGATCCGGTGAGTGCGTGCTACTGTGGAATGGCTATAGAAGGAAAAGCCAATTGAGTCTGGCTGCGAAGAACGCTCAGAAAAACACAAACAAATTCAAAATTTACTCTCTAACAACGGAATTTTGGCTATAAATTTAAGAGCGTCGGCAACTCAGAGTTCGATCGTAAATATTAATGTCGCATTAACCCAGCAGCATAGCAAAAGGCGTGTGGAAAACGGTAGAAGTCAACTCAATGAGCACGGTGGAATCCTTTAAGGCGCAACCGAATGCAGTAACCGGAAACGCTCGACGTATGTACAAATGCAACTTAGTGCCCTGCCGGTTTCGATCAATACAGAGTAAATGGCGCAGAAACAAACAGAAAGTGGAGGTGCACTATTGAGTTCTGAAAAACTGTTGCACAATGTGAGGAACCGGAAACACCAGTCCCATCGATATAAGTGCGTTACAAAATGCACCAATCGAATTCATGGGGTCTGAAACAAAAGGTTAAAGAAGCAAACAACACAATCAGTTTCTGATCATCGCCTGTCCCGCCTGGCTTCAGCGACGCTGAGGTGAATTTTATTTCGTGTCGTGGCTGTACAACTGTCCTTGTGTGACAACCGATGTTAGATCTTTACCTTTGCTCGCTATTCCGAATTAAACACCCAAAAAATTTTCCGCAAAAATTCTAGCCCAGCCGAAGGAAAACCAAAAGCCCAACGATCTTGACCGCGATAAACGTGTTACCAAAAGCGCCACCAAACGTAGCCAAAAAACGCCGCCAAAACGCTGTACAACTACGCCAGACCTACGCCAAACATATAGGGGGCTCAATGACCTTTGGCTTCTAGAAAAGGAAGATCAACTGGTAAAATTAGAAGTCTTTCTGCCAAAACTCCGTATGCTGTTAATCACGTGAAGTAATGGAGGGTTCCGGAATCTTCGAAACGGCTGCCGCGGTGTATGATGCTAGCCTGGGATTGACTTGAAGCCTCCTGGAAGGTGTTCTACGCCTATCAGTCCATCGCCTTGGCTGTAGTGTTTTGGATTCAAGTTTCGTGCTCTGCGGTCTGGTATCATTCGTCTGATGATAGGGTTCTTCTACGGATTCTTTAGGTAAGTTGAAGGTGTCCGTCAACAGGTCAAATGGAAGCTCGACAGATTCTGTTACTTGGCTGATACAGTGTTGATCGCAGTTGGTTTACATGAAGTAC